TAACAGCCAAAGCCACATGAAATGATTCATATTCATGCAGCATAACAGGGAAATAATCTTAAGAAAAAAATGTGTGTGTTTAATACTGACTTCTAGTCTATCTAGCTGGTCATTCATATTGCAGCGACATATTTCAAAGTAATGCTCCAAAATAACTAGCAGGGTTTAGAAAGAAACCACAGATGGCATTTTTTTTTCATTATGGTATTGGAACTTTCAAGGTAAATGGACCAAATCTGCTCCACTTACTCACATTAGTGATCCCATTGATCCCAATGAGCATATCGTCACATGAGAAGAATGGACATAATTAGGTCCACTAACTCCAAGGCATATAATGGGACTTTTCCATTAGAATCTAGAATTTCAGTGTTTCATAGATAAGTGTCCTTTAAATCACGATCACCTGTTTTGTAATTTTCTCTCTCACCTTAATCTCTGATCCTAATGACTCTATATTTTCCCTCCAAGAACTGAACAGGTCTCCCATCCAGAGCTTGTCAGTACCACTCTTTAATTAAATGGAGAGGTTGCTGTTTAGTTGCTTTAAGAAACTCTCTGCCCACCCCAGTACAGAGACTAAGGCTGTGTCTACATTGGCAAGTTTTTGCGTGCAAAAACTTGCTGCCTGTCTACACTGGGGGCGTGTTCTTGCGCAAGTAAACTGACACAAAAACTTGCTGCCTGTCTACACTGGCGGGGAGTTCTTGTGCAAGAACACTGATGTTCTAATGTGTGAAATCAGTGCTTCTTGCGCAAGAACTATGATGCTCCCCCTCAGGAATAAACCCTCTTGTGCAACTGTTCTTGCACAAGAGGCCAGTGTAGACAGGCAACATGAATTTCTTGCACAAGAAAGCCCGATGGCTAAAATGGCCATCGGAGCTTTCTTGTGCAAGAGTGTCTACACTGGCACGGATGCTTTTGTGCAAAAGCACATCTCTTGTGCAAAAGCACATGCCAGTGTAGACGGTCTCTTGCACAAATACTTTAACGCAAAAACTCTTGCGTTAAAAGTATTTGCGCAAAATCTTGCCAATGTAGACATAGCCTAAGAGTGCTGCCTCTGCTGTATTTACCATAGGGTCCAATTCTGCATCACTTTTATACCATTGAATTCAAGATAGTTACCCAAAACTTATTCTTGTTCAGCTGATTGGAGAATCAAGCCCTTGTACTAGATTTCACAGCCAGTTCTGCTATCATTTACTGTCAGCTGTAATGCATTTGTGATGTAGACTATGCTGTGTGATTTGTTATAAATGTAAATGCAGGCTCAGCTTCTGATCTCAGCTGACCCTCAGCAATTCTGGAATAAGTCTAGAAATGCTGCAGATTCACATTGCTGTAACTAAGAAGATAATTTGGCCCCAAGAGAGCTAGACTAGAGGATATATGTACTCTGCTTAATTTTGTTTCTAAGATTAACATTAATTTAACCATAGTATTTGTTGCCCTAGGGACATGGACAAGCAATTAAATTAAAATGGCCAATGGTGTGGATATAAAATGGGAATAAGGAGTCCCTACACAGAAGAAAGATCCGACCTGAGAGCCGTATCTAATCACCGGTGGATCACTAGCCACAAATCAGGCATACACAATTTTAGGGCCAAACCATGTATTTGATATGAATAGTAGAACAGATATACAGTTAACAGCAAGTCCCAACAAACCAACCCTCCCTAACCCGAAGAAAGGAGATAGAACAGTTCCCTAGATACATAAGGTATATACAAAGCCTGAGGCGATCGATGCCTGTGACCTTCAACCCTCGGGCTAATTGTAAGCCTCTGGGGAGGACAAGCAGGGAGATCCCACGGTAGTGAGTCCTTTTGAAGAGACGACCCCGATATGGATCCTTGATCTGGAAAGGAATCCCCTCTGGACACAGTCTGATCTGTCCTTCAACAACACCATCTGGTCCAGTAGGCAGGTAATCCAATGAAGATGATGGGAAAAGAGAGTCCGGGTTCCAGTGGCCAATGCAAACAGGAAAACCTTGTGGGTATTTACCACACAAAGTAGCACAGTCCAAAAGTCCAGGCGTCAGATTACCAAGATAGTATCCGAGCTTCAGGCAAACTATATACAGACAGAGGAGCAACAAATGAGTAGATCCAAGGCTGGGGAATATCCAAGGACCCGAGCCCGTGATACCTCAGGGCTTTTATTGGCCCAGAGGTGGGGAAAAAAATATGCTAATGAAGCTAGGTTTGAGTGCAGCTTTCCTAGGGGCCGTGTGCAGCGTTTTGGTGCTGAGTGCACCTCTTTTGGTGCTGAATGCAACAGATCTCCTTTTAAAATGGAACCTACTGAACCAAACTATAATACAGCCCCTTTTCCGGGGTAACACATTGTATAAAATGATTAATAACAAGTGAGTCAAATTCTGTCTTTTAGGGGCAAAATTTTAACTGTTATCAGTGCAGGACTGGGATCAGAATTACTATTGTATTAACTTTGAGGAAAAAGTTCACTCATAAGAAATTCCTGCTCAAGGCTAGTGATAGAAATGTAGCCGTGTTAGTCTGGTGTAGCTGAAACAAAATACAGGACTATGTAGCACTTTAAAGACTAACAAGATGGTTATTAGATGATGAGCTTTCGTGGGCCAGACCCACTTCCTCAGATCAAATAGTGGAAGAAAATAGTCACAGCCATATATATACCAATTTAAATTGTATCCTTTGGTATATATGGCTGTGATCAGATCAAAGGAAGTGGGTCTGGCCCACGAAAACTCATCACCTAATAAACCATCTTGCTAGTCTTTAAAGTGCTACATAGTCCTGTATTTTGTTTCAGCTGCTCAAGGCTAGTAACTGCTCTTCATGCTTCCAAAGGGAAAATTGAATTACTATTCTAAGCCTTTAGCTCTTTAATTTGTTCTCATTTGCCACCTGTTCAGAAAAGAAAAATCCTACATTTTACTTCTGTATCCATGTTTAGAGAGACAAGGTGAGTGAGGTAATAGTTTGTATTGGACCAACTTCTGCTGGTGAGGGAGAAAAGCTTTTGCCCTTACAGAAGTTGGTCCAATATAAGCTATTACCTCACCCACCTTGCCTCTTTAATATCTCGGACCTGACAGCTACAACACTGCTACATGTATCTGTTTGTAATATTACTTTGATCAGAGTTCTCAAGGAAAAAGAGAAAGGAAAAAGCTCCATGTATTCCCTTTTCATTTAATGCAGCTGAAACCAATAGAATATTATAAAACTAATTTTTAAAACCTTACAGAATTTAATCAAGAATTGTCTCTGCTACAGAACTCTATAAATTGATTTAGTGACTCCATGGGAAGGATCTCCTCTATTAAATTCTACAGGATATTTCCCTAAGGTCATCCTTAAGCTATAGAATATAAAGATGCAAAATCTGAAAGCCAGATATTGCTTGTGAGGCACTTCACATGCTGAGAAATGTAATCGGAAAACTCAAGTCACTGGAATTATTAAAAGTGCTTTCTTTGCAGGTATCTTAGGCCCATCCTGTAAGGTGTGTTGGTGGAAAAATAATTGAAATGTGCAATATTATTGAAAACATTTTTGTGATTTTAAGGATAATTTTTGAGGGGGAGTAGTGAGGTGCTGGCAGAGGTTGATCAGAACCTTCCTCTGCATTGTTTGCATCCCAGAAACTAGGGCTTTATTTCTTCTCCATGGTGACTAGTTAGTGAAATTTGGGTGCGTCTACACTGCACATGTAGCTCGAAATAAGCACCATAATTTCAACCACTCAAATAAAGTGCTATTCCAAAACGTCCCATACTCCGCCTGGAAGAGGTTTGAAGGAACATCAGAATAGTGAGCCCGTTAGATTTCAAAATAAGGGGCTTGCTCAAAAGACACAATCACTATTTCAGGTATCCCGAAATAGCTCTGGAGTGTAGACATAGCCAAACTGACCAACTTGCTTCACTTGTCTGATTGTTTCATGCATCTGACCAAGTGCACCTGTACCCTCCAAAGTGTGTGCCCAGATATATCTGTTAGTCCTTAAGGTACCCCAGCACTCCCGTTGCTTTCGTGTGTGTTATTTGTTTGGGTTGCACCGACACTTTCAGGCCCAAAGGGAGCTGTGGGCCCCACCGTGATACCAGGGCGATTGTCTCTGGTGCAGGAGCTTTGCAATCGATGAGCCGAGCCAGGCAAGGAGGGAGCCGAGTGGGGAGCCCGCCCTGCGGGAGCAGGGACACGGATCTTTTCCCCAACCCCCCGCCCCGTTGGGCCAGGCTTATTGTTTGGGTTGCACCGACACTTTCAGGCCCAAAGGGAGCTGTGGGCCCCACCGTGATACCAGGGCGATTGTCTCTGGTGCAGGAGCTTTGCAATCGATGAGCCGAGCCAGGCAAGGAGGGAGCCGAGTGGGGAGCCCGCCCTGCGGGAGCAGGGACACGGATCTTTTCCCCAACCCCCCGCCCCGTTGGGCCAGGCTTATCCCCGGCCGGGGCGGGAGCTTGCCGGAGCCAGCGCGGGC